ACACCAGCCAGAGCAAGCTCCATTTAATTTTAACTTCATGGTACAGGCAGCTATGAATATTAATGTATTCTTTTTATTCCAGAACAGTTAGACAAAATCTTCTCTAACTCAACATGGACTATTTCTGTTTTTTAAAAAAATTTCCTTTTGCCTTCAGTTCAAAAACTGCCTTCCCATAGTCATCTGTAGCTCCAAGTCTCTCTGCCGGAGACTCCCATTCGCTACTAGCACAGACCATGGGCTCCTTGAGGACCAAAACCTGGCCAACAAGTTTTGCTTCCCCTTTAACAATTGGCACAGGGTCATTCATATCGCTGCTGTTTGATAAATATACACAGAGTACATGTTCAATTCTAAGAGTTTCTTAAAATAAGGAAATGAAAATACAATAGATGTAAATGTAACATTCTACAGGGTGAGGTACTGCCTCAACAAGAACAAAACGGGTCTCTTCTAACTTCAATGTGATGTTCATGATCAACTGGAAGGCATTAGGCTAAGTGAAATAAGCCAGTCGTGGAGGACAAACATGGCACGTTTTCACTCAGATGAAGTACCCAGAATAGTCAAACGAATACAGAAAACAGAATAGTGGCTGCCAGGAGCTCGGAGGAGAGGGGGATAAGGAGTTAGTTGGTTAATGAGTTTTGGTTTGGGACCATTCTATATTGTACCCACCAATGTAAAAGAAGTATATGTCTCTCCATTTTACTTCCTATCCAATCCCAGAGGTTTCCTTGATTTGATTTTTCTTACCTCCTTAATCTACCATCAATGGTAGATTATTTCTTTCCCTGTAACTCCAATAATGTCATGCAATATCAAATTTCTGGACTTCACGTAACCCTCTTTACATCTCTTTCTTTGATTCTTATCTATATAATAAAAACCTAAGAGACCATTACAACTGAACAACTGAAATGACAGGTCAACTTGTCACAATGATGCGCCTGACCACCAGGGGGCAGACGCTCAATGTAGGAGCTGGCCCCTGATGGTCAGTGCACTCCTACAGCCAACCTCCCATGGCCCCTACCTCCCTGCCAGCCAACCTCCTGCAGCCCCTCCCCCTCAGACCCAATTGGCCAGCCTCCCCATCAGACCCAGTTGGGGGGGTCCTTCTGGCCAACCTCCTGTAGCACTCCCCCAGCCAGCCCTTTTCCATGGCCAGCTGGCCCCTCAATAGGCCTCGATCGCTGGCCAGGCCAAAAGACCAGACCAGTGCATGATTTCGTGCACCAGGCCTCTAGTGTATAAAATAAGCTGCAATACTGTCAACATCTGAAGCACTTTTTAAGTTCACTGAAGACTTTGCTTCCCAGCAATTGCCATCAGTTTGACTCAAATAAACTCATAAAGATTCTCAAAAAAAAAAAAAAAAAAAAAAGATGAGCTGGTACGAGGTCAAGATGGTAGATTCAAAGGATAGCCAATTTGGGGGAAAGGTGACAGTGTCTCCTCCAGCCTTCCCTCCATCCCAGCCTACAAGCTACAGCCAGTGTTGAATAGGAACCCGGAGAGTTGAATACACCCATGAGAAGGCACACATTGGGAAGTAAGGGGAAGGTGTACCAGGCACCTTTGAAGAAAAGCATGGAGAACTGACAAACTGCCCAAAATACCAGAAGTTAGTATCAACCCACCCAGGAGGAACTGAAAATAACAGTAATAATTTTAAGGATGTAATGTACCAACTTATTTTATATTTTATGAAACATATATCAAATCATTAATCAAGAATATACAGAGAGCCGAAACTGGTTTGGCTCAGCGGTAGAGCATCGGTCTGCGGACTGAAAGGTCCCAGGTTCAATTCTGGTCAAGGGCATGTACCTTGGTTGCGGACACATCCCCGGTAGGTCAATGTTTCTCTCTCATCGATGTTTCTACCTCTCTATCTCTCTCCCTTCCTCTCTGTAAGAAAAATCAATAAAATATATTTTTTTTAATTTTAAAAAAAGAATATACAGAGATATAAAGTATCTTGTTTACAATCATAGAAAAGAAGTTTGTTTCTATCCAAAACAATCTATGTGTCAATCTATGTGCACTCTTCTAAAGAAATTAAAATTAGGGATTGTGCAGGACTGTTTTCTCTGTTACTCTCTTCTACATTTTCTACAGGTTTAAGTATCCTTCCTTCTCTCTCCCACCCAGCAAGTCTTCAACCACTACCATTTCAGGTTTATCTCTTTCAATTCAGCATCATCCTCATCATCCCCTCCTCTCCATCTTCTTTTTAACTATGCACCTCTAAAAATTGATATTAAATCCTTAAGTGTAATCCTCTAGTGAATTTCAAACTTTTGGTCATAACCCACAATAAGAAATACATTTTACATCTGGGGCCAGTACACACCAGAAAAAGTCAGATCTGTAAAATCTACACAAAAGTTCCTCAAAACATCTACCCCTACCATGTGTGATATGATCTTCTCTATTCTAATCCACTTTTTTTTTTTTTTGATGTTGGTCACAACTATTGGGCCACAACTATTAGGTCACAACTCATAGTTTGAAATACTTAGTAGATAAGACACACTGATACATCTCTCTAAGAGGCAACGTAAGAAAGTGGCTATGAGTTCTGACTTTAGGCTGCCTGGATTCAATCACCAGCTCTACATGAAGCTGTCACCTTCTCTGCCTCAGTTTCCCTGGCATGGGTGCAATAGAACAGTGCTATTCTACTCAAAATTGAACATCAACCAAGACTATCGACATAAAGCACTTATAGCATAAAAAGTATTCAGTTAATGGGCAGTAATTTTTAAATAGTCTATGGCCGAAACCGGTTTGGCTCAGTGGTAGAGCATCGGTCTGCAGACTGAAAGGTCCCAGGTTCAATTCTGAACAGGGGCATGTACATTGGTTGCGGGTACATCCCCAGTAGGGAGTGTGCAAGAGGCAGCTGGTCGATGTTTCTCTCTCATCGACGTTTCTAGCTCTCTATCTCTCTCCCTTCCTCTTTGTAAAAAATCAATAAAATATATTTAAATAAATAAATAAATAGTCTATGGACTTTTCATTGTGGTAGAATGTAGACACAATCGATCATTTTAACCATTTAAAGTGCACAATTCAGTGGTAGTGCATCACTTTTGCCTGTTGTGCAACCATCACCACTCTCTGGTCCCAGAACATTTAACACCCCAAAAGGAAACTCATACCCCTCCCTCGCCCCTCCCCAGGCCCTGGCAACCCCTAATCTGCTTTCTGTCTCTAGGCCCGCAGACTTTTTAAATAATAAAGTAACACTTGACTAGAGCAGTTTTCTAATGTAGAATGAAGTGTCCTTTGGCGTCATTAATCCTATGACTCACAAGACAAATTTCTGCTAACCATTTCTTAGGAAAACCTTGTGAGCCACGTTAGGTAAATTCGGGGACCTGTTGTGGGGTCAGCAATCCCTCTCTCCTGTGAATGTTTAGGGCAAGATTCCCAACGCCTGGCCAGTGCAGTGAGGAAAGGGCTTTCAGCGCCCGCAGGAGGCAGAACGAGCAAGTCTCACCTAGGAAGGTGTTTTTTATTATGTCATGGAATTTCACCAAGTGGAGCATATTCATCAAATATTCTCCAGTCTTTGTATTTTGAAGTTTTGCTTTTGAAGCTCTGAACTTTTACCGTGAAGGGGTAAAAATGTGACCTTGGACACATTTCTTGGCTTTAGGATATAATATCATTTCCTTTTGGGGCCCCACCCCTCGCTCCCTCTGATTTGCCTTCCTTTGGGGTGTGGAACACTGGACAAAAATAACTTTCTTCTTCCCAGGACCTATTCAGGCAGCTGCCGGAGAGATACTCCGTCAGGGAAACAGCAGCGGCAAGCAGGCTGCCTTCCTTGCCAAGCAGCACGGTCACTCTGGGAAGTTGTTAAGGCAGAAGGCTTCTTAGGCCAACGAAGTAAATGTCACCACAAGGCACCAAAGATGTGAACTACAGAATATCTTTTAGTCCCAGGTGTATGTCAGAATACCTCCCTCTCTCTCTCTCTCTCTCTCTTTCTCTCTCTCTCTCTCTCAATTGAAGACCAACACCGCTCACCCAGCAAATAGGCAGGAAAGTCCTCAGTCATTTTCCACTCCCTCTCCACCCCACCCCCACCCCCTGATTTTCCTGCTCCTGGTGAAAGCCTGACCCTGAGTGATAGCAGTGGGCCAACCTGGCTTATTTGGAGAGAGAGAGAGAGAGAGAGAGAGAGAGAGAGAGAGAGAGAGAGAGAGAGAGAGATGTGTGTGTGTATGTGGTGGGGAGCAGGTGACATAAGGATTCAACTCTGAGTCCCAGAGTTCAGCAAACATCCCTGCAACTCTGAGAGAGTCACTTTATTGCTTTCTAGGAAAACAGAGGGAGAAGGTTTAAGTAGCAAACAAGCCCCAGAAACCTCACACCTCCAAACTCCAGGAAGCCTGTGCCCAGAACTGTACCAAATTCTGGAAGAGTCCTGAATTAGAGTGAACTTGGTGTGGACCAAAGAGAATGACAACTTTCCGAAGACCCGGTGCCTCGCAAATCAGCGAGAGTGCAGGACCCCCGAGTTTGCGGTGCGGGATCACCCCGGGCACCCCCTGCACACGAAGTCAAGGCTCCCTCCTCCCCCCTCTTTTCCCCCCCAGACCTTCCAAAAAAAAAATGAGACCTCCCGAGCAGCGCCGACCCAGGAAGCACTCACTTCCTCGAAAGCGCCCGGCTGGTCCTTCCCGGGGTCCAGCAGGTGCCTCCAGCATCCCGCCCTGGGCAGCTCAGGTCTCGCCAGCCTAGGGCTGCGCTGCAGGATCAGGGGGCACCCTCGAGGGCGGTTCCGCAGGTGGGGAGGCCGCTGCCCCCAGAGCGCCCTCATGCGCCCCACGCAGGGCCCTGGCCTTGGAGGGGACCCGGGCCAGGACCGAGGGCGGGGTTCGGACGGTGACAGCACGGGGCTCCCGCTGCCAAGAGTGAGGCAACCCTAGACTTCCCGGAGCCCGCGCCCTCCCCGCCGCCCCTGCCCAGGGCTCACCGACCTGAGATGGTCTCCTGGTAGCCCTTGGTGAAGAACTGCATGGCCGTGGCCGCCCGCCACGGCGTCTTGAGCAGCCCCTGCCGCTGGGGGTCTTCGCCCAGCGAGCGCAGGATGGACGAGTAGGCGGCGGCCAGGTTGGGGAGGTGCAGCTCGTTGTCCTCCTCGCTGCGGGGCCGGTCGCCCTTCCAGCCGTCCGTCGGCTGGGCGCTCTTGGTCTCGGCACGCGGCGACTTCTCGGCCGGGCGGCCGGGCGGCCCGCGCCGCGGCTCCCCCTCCAGGCACCCATTGCTGCACCCCGAGTCCCGCGGCTTCGCCGGCGCCGCTCGCCCCGGGCCCTTCTCCATGGCCCCGCCGCTGCCGCTCAGGAGGGAGATCGGAACGTCCGTCCGGGAGCTGCGACCAAACTTCCCCGGGAGGCCGCGGGCCACGGGCTGCGGCGGCGGGAGGAGGCGGGCGCAGGTTTGGGGACTGCTCGGCGGCAATGTGAGCGGAGCAGCCCCGGGCTCCTTTATAGGGGCCAGCGGCCCGGCCGGCGCCGCGGGGCGTCCTGATTGGTGGGAGCCGCCTTGCGTCACGAACATCGCCCCGCCCCTCGCCTCTCGCCCCGCCCCCGGCCCGGGGCCCAGGACCCTGGAGGGGTCAGTGCGCCCAAGGCACGCAGAGAGGCTCGGAGGGGCGCGCCCCCCAGCGGCCGCGGGGCTGGGGCCGGGCTGTGGGCCCAGCGGGAGCTCCTCCGTCGGAGAGTCCAGTCGGGGTCGGTCTCCCTCCCGGAGATGCAGCGGGACGAGCGCAATCTGCAGGAGGCAGGTGTCTGCGGCTGGAACCCGGACGGGGCGGGGGCAGGAAATTGACTGGCCTCCTAGGCATCCTTAATCTAAAATAGAAAAATAATATTCATGCAAGTAGGTTTTCCAAAGATAGTTATTAAATTTCTATATAGATTGATTACCAAATTGTAAAGTTTTTTCCCCCCTTTGGCAAGGTCCTGCAACATTTTTTTCCCCTTTAACTGTACTGCCCACTGTCCTTATATTTAACAAATGAAAACAGATTCCAAGTGTGGTACTTTAAAAAAAAAAAAATGGAGGGATTTGATGGAGATATTTTCACTAAGGGTGTATGTGGCAATCTTTTGCCTTCTTTTAAAAAAACATTTGTAGCCGGGACCGGTTTGGCTCAATGGATAGAGCGTTGGCTTGGAGACTGAAGGGTCCCGGGTTCGATTCCGGTCAAGGGCATGTACCTTGGTTGTGGGCATATCCCCAGTAGGGGGTGTGCAAGAGGCAGCTGATTTCTGACTCTCTCTCATCGATGTTTCTAACTATCTCTCTCCCTTTCTCTCTGTACAAAATCAATAAAATATATTTTAAAAAAAGAAAAGAAAGTCTTTTTTAAAAAATAAATAAATAATAAAAAATAAAAAAACATTTGTGAACATTAATATCATATTTTCCGAAGACTATTTCTAATGGGATTTTTACCCTAAAAATTAACATGTTCTTATAAACACTGCCTCTGAGGCATCCTGTTTTAGGGTAAAGAGGAGGCCACATCAGAAGTGCTCCGGTCCCCTCGCCCAGTGAAAGCAAACAGGTGGCCTCGAGGGGAAAGAGACTGGTTTAAACTGTGAGTTAGGAAACCATCACGTATTCTTTCAGGGCAAGAGAAGAGCATGGCTTGAAACTCTTGCACGCGGTAGCTTACATGTGCAGCGCACCCTCTGCTCGGTTTCAGAGCTCCGTTACCCCAAGGGATCCTGACGCGAGCCTCTACGTCAAGGGCCCGTATATTTGATCCTGGAGAACTTTGACCCTAGAGAGATTGATTTGCAAGCGAAGCGAAGCTCCTTTCCCCTGATGTTGATACAAATTGTGAAATGTTGTTATTGATCACTTGGATTCTTAACCAGGGACATCTATTTTGACTGTTTTAAGATTTTTTTAAAAAATATATATTTTATTGATTTTTGTACAGAGAGGAAGGGAGAGAGATAGGGAGCCAGAAACATCAATGAGAGTCATCGATCAGCTGCCTCTTGCACACCCCCTACTGGGGATATGCCCGCAACCAAGGTACATGCCCTTGACCGGAATCGAACCCGGGGCCCTTCAGTCCCCAAGCCGACGCTCTATCCATTGAGCCAAACCGGTCCCGGCTGTTTTAAGATTTTTTTAAAAAAATGTTTTTATTGATTTCAGTGAAGAAAAGAGAGGGGGAGAGAGAAACGTCAATAATGAGAGAGAATCGTTGATTGGCTCTCTCCTGCATGCCCTACACTGGGGATCAAGCCCGCAACACAGGCATGTGCCCCTGGCCAGGATAGAATCCGGGACTCTTCTGTGCGCAGGCCGGGCTCTGTCCACTGAGCCAAACCAGCTAGAGCTGTTTTAAGATTTAGAAAATGACTTTTTCCCTCACTGGAGGAATTATTTCATAATGCCAAAGGTAAGTTTTAAAGCATGTATTAAATTTGCTCCAGAGAATTTCTAATGAGCTGTTTGTCTGGCATATAAACTGTATTAAAAGGCTTAGGATCAGACAAACCAGGAGGGAAGCTCCTGGGTTATTCTATACTAATAAAGTAGCTTAGGAATTATAATTAGTATTTATTGGATGTCTGCTCCAAGAATTGCTCTGTTCTAAATATTCAAGAAAGAAATATGGAAATTGACTGGCCTCCTAGACATCCTTAATCTAAAATAGAAAAATAATATTCATGTAAGTGGGTTTTTAAAAGATAGTTGTTAAATTTCTATACAGATTAAATACCAAATTGTAAAGTTTTTTCCCCCCCTTTGGCAAGGTCCTGCAACATTTTTTCCCCTTTAACTGTACTGCCCACTGTCCTTATATTTAACAAATGAAAACAGATACCAAGTGTGGTACTTTAAGAAAAATGGAGGGATTTGATGGAGATATTTTCATTAAGGGTGTGTGTGGCAATCTTTTGCCTTCTTTTAAAAACATTTGTAAACATTAATATCATATTTTCCAAAGACTATGTCTAGTGGGATTTTTACCCTAAAAATGAACATTTTCTTATAAACACTGCCACTGAGGGAGGCATCAGCACATTTGTTGCCAGTTATCATTATAAACTCTCTGGATTTGTTCTAGAACATATTTATATGTAAAATGGAGCCAATGCCTTCTAGCTAAATGACCAACGGTAACATAAGGAAGCTTTGAAATTGCCAACATAAATAAAAAGTTTGACTATGAAATGTGGAGAGTTGGGTGTCTATAAGTAGAAGAGAAAAAGAAGGGATAAACTAAAAGATGAAGGGTATGTTCCACAAAATCTATTAGCATAAAATGTTCAACAGCAAAGCTATAAGCATTTGCAGCTAGGAATTGTGACAGCATCTGTTTCTAAATTAGTACCATGACCCGTTTTCACCTTTGACCCAACCTGGGAGTTGTTTTCTACCAAAAACCCAATAATTCTTTTTTAAAAAATTCTTCCACTTCTTGGGTGGTAACAGAACAGAAAGATAGGTGAGTGAGGTACATAGCATCAAAGATTGAACACAGAAGAGCTGCAGAGATATAGAATCACATGTCAAGGATAACAGATAAACTAACATTAGGCACTGGGCACTGGTAATTGAAAAAAAAAAAAAAGGCAAATTTCTTTCAATGCACTTGATAGAGGTTGTATATTTGAAATTCAAACGTAGGAAGAGATTCTGGGTCAAGGTGGAAAGATACACAATAAAAGTATCCTTATCCCACTCCTACCTTCCAGAAACAGGACTGTGGAGTCAATGGAATCCTTAGATGCCTCACTAAATCCCCCAAAGGTAGCAAACCGAATGGAGGCCCTTACCTTTCTTCTCTTCTGACTGAGGAGGAATGGAAGAACTTTTAGAGAGAAAATGAAAGAATGTGAACACTGAGCTTACTCTCTGAGATGGAAGGGAAGACCTGAGGGCTTCACACTGAGTTGAGGAAACTCTCCAAAGACACCTCGTAAGGGAAGAATAGATGTACCCCAAATAGTCGCATGTCACTGGTAGAGGATGTTTAATACAATCTCCGAGGAAGGAGAGGATGCTAATAAGAACAGGTGCTGATGAAGAGTACACTCTTCCACAGCTGAACGCTGTCCCAACCTTCTTAATTCCTCACAGAACAAGAGATGTAAATTTCTCAAGACACAAGTGTAGGAGAGTCAGAACAACAAATGGACGTCCACTATAATGGAAAACACAGAGAAGTGTCCCTCAAGAATATTAGGCATGGACAGAAGGCAGAGAAACAGCCTGGCAACTGTGCAAACATACAGCAACCAAAAATAAAAATAAAAATAAATAAATCAAACAAGGTGGGGAGAATAATACAACATGTAGAAGATGTAAAGACAAAGAATGCAACTGAGAAGAAACTAAAGCTCATGGAACCAAGGGAAATTCCTCACAAATGCTTCCTGCTACAGAACAACTTAATAAAAACACGAACTCAATATGAAAAAAAAAAAAACAATATAAAAAATAATAGAATTTCAAAAGGAGTTAGAGATCTAAGGAAATAAATTTGGATCCTTATTATTGTGTAATCAATTAGAGCCATGTACAAAATAGGTACTGTTGAAAATTCAATTACCATTATACAATAAGACACATGAATGAATGTACAATGAAAGGAAGATGAGCCGAAACCGGTTTGGCTCAGCGGTAGAGCATCGGTCTGTGGACTGAAAGGTCCCAGGTTCGATTCTGGTCAAGGGCATGTACCTTGGTTGCGGGTACATCTCCGGTGGGGGGTGTGCAAGATGCAGCTGGTCGATGTTTCTCTCTCATCAACTTTTCTAGCTCTCTATCTCTCTCCCTTCCTCTCTGTAAAAATTAAATAAAATATGTTTTTTAAAAAAAGGAATATGAAAGCTATTAGAGAAGACAAAGATGACCTAGCATTAGAATAATTAGTGTTCCTGAGGTAGAGAACTCAATAAATGATAATATATAGTCAAGATATAATATTAGCATATTTCTCTACCAGAAATAAGCCTTTCTATTTATATGCAATTGATTTACAACAAGGGTGCCAAGACAATTCAATGGAATAAAGAAAACTCTTTTCAATAAATGGGACTAGGACAATTGGATACCTACATGGAAAAAGAGAGAAGCTGGATCTCTACCTCACACCACATACAAAAATTAAACAGATCAAAGACCTAAATGTAAGAGCAAAAATTATAAGCTTTAGAAGAAAACAGGCATAAATCTTCATGACCTTGGATTAGGCAAATGGATTTCTTGCACAATGGGAGAAAACCTTTGCAAATCATATACCTGATACAGATTAGGATCTAGAATAAATAAGGAACCTTCACAACTAA